CATCAATGCCACTGCAATTAGCACGCAGGTTAAAATGTTAGACGATGACGTAGCATAAATCTAGCTTATTTACAATGAGTAGGCTGAAAAGATAAAAAAGCTGGAGCAAAATAATTAGCTATTTCCTGCGATAAAGATAGTGGATGTGCAGAGATAGCTACGAATTTTCTAGAGCTGGCAGGGTTTCTGATTCCTAGCCATCCCTTCGCATCTAGAAGCTGACAACAGCTGTTGTGAGGCAGCTTGGGCATTACCAGAAAATCCAGAGACTCCGGGGCCGGGGGAAAGTGGTGCATCCCCCCCCCCCCCTCACTTTAGTGTGACAGAAAAACTGTTTCATGAAATACCAGAGCCAAGAAACCGAAGTTGTAGAGAAGAATAAGTTGGGTTTGGATGTGACAATAGATATTTCTTTAAGTGAGCCTTCGTGGCCCAGAAAAATAGTGGCTCCTTGGTGTCAGGGATAGAAAACCTGTATTTATGCATAGATGAGTTCAGTATATCCACAGCACAAAAATCCATTGAGGCAACTTCTTGAAACACCTCTCGAAACAGCAAGGAGAAAGTTGGGAAAGCAGTTTCAAAAGTCACTTCAGTTCAGACAGTTCTGGTCCCTGTAAGATTCAGGGGGTAAAGTGTAAAAGGATTTGAAATGCTTTTGGGTAGAGTGTACAGGTTAACCGGTTATGATTTAGCCATTTTATCTGACCGCAGAGAGAGTTCTGCTCTGTACTAGATAATTATTAAGACATAAAACACATGATCTCTGCTGTGTATTTAGACATGATGATGATTAGGTCTGTCTGGATAATTCCAATTACTTCCTTTTTTTTTTTTTTATTGCATTGGGACCATAAATATTTTCATGGTGACATGTAATTATTAAGAGGTACAAACAGTAATAAAAATTCTTTAGGCTTAGTTAAATACAGAGAAATATACAGGAAAAATCAGAACTTTAAGGGGTATTGAATGGGATTGCTCATTTTGTTTCCACTGAGCTGTGTTAGTTTACTCTGAGCAAGGATCAAAAGTGGTATTTTCATTTAGTTATAAATTCCTATTGTCCTGCTCCAGACTTTCTTTTCTGCTTTTTCTTCCCCTCTCTGTTTAGAACCCCAACTCTTATCTCTGTTGCTGTTGATATTATTCCTGTTTCCGGTAGCAAGAAGAGCTGTAAAATTTCACATTTCCTGGGAAATAACCCTGTTGTCTCCGAGCCTGAGTAATTGCTTTCTTCAGGCAATAGTGCAGCACTT